TGTGGGTGTGGGTGTGGATGTGGGTGTGGGTGTGGGTGTGGGTGTGGGTGTGGGTGTGGGTGTGGGTGTGGGTATGGGTGTGGGTGTGGGTGTGGATGTGGATGTGAGTGTGGGTGTGGGTCACACTGGGGAGCCAGGCGGACATGTGCGAAAATTTTCTTTCCCAGAATGTAACCGTTTGCGTAGACACATGCATATCTGATCTATCATTTCCTAAAATAGCGGTTCTCCAAGTTTTATAGAGCCCAAGAAAAGAGCCAGCCAAGGCTTGGGCCCAGAAATCAGCATAAATAAAGAAAGTCAAACCGCTCGGCAATATAACACAATATTCCACAAGCAAACAATATCGCAAAAAACTTGTTCACCTATGGACTTTATGATAAAAAAAAATTATTGTAATCTAATTTAAAATAGAGTAGAAAACCAGGAGCCTCTATGCCGAAAACCTACCCGAAAACCTACCGTTCCGTATATTAAAAACCCTACAAAGGGGTAACGTCCGATCGAGCTGAAATTTTTACCAGATACTCCTGCCTATGTATCCTAATTATGGTAATAGCGTGAACTCGTGAAACTTTTCCTAGGCTATTCTACAGGATTCCCAAAAACTCATGCTTTTTGGTCGAAAATCCGATTTTATGCTTTCATATTACGTTTTAAAGAAAAACTAAGGTGATATTTGGAAACAGCTCATCGAGCTGCATCAGACCATATATATATAATAGTTTTAAAAAAAAAATTGATCCATTTTCAAAGCAGATCCAGGCCCGAAAAACCTACCGTTTTGTATAATAAAAACCCTACAAAGGGGTAACGTCCGATCGAGCTGAAATTTTTATCAGATACTCCTGCCTATGTATCCTAATTATGGTAGTAGCGTGAACTCGTGAAACTTTTCCTAGGCTATCTTACAGGATTCTCAAAAACCCACGGTTTTTAGTCGAATATCCGGCTTTAGGCTTCCATATTACGTTTTGAAGAAAAACTAAGATGATATTTGGAATCAGCTCGTCGAGCTGCATCAGACCATGTATAAAAAGAGCCATTTTTGTCGAAGTCATTTTTGGCAAAAATTTGGCCGAAACTAGCTGGTATGACCGGAAATTCAGTCTCAGGCATTTATATTACATTTTGAAGAAAAACTAAGGTGATATTCGGAATCAGCGCATCAAACTACATCGAATGATATGTAGCTTAACATATTTTTCAAAAAAAAAGATTTTTCGAAAAAAAAGGCTGAGGTCCTTCCGAGCCATATTTTTCGAAAAATTTTTTTTCCTAAAAAACCTATTATTTTCTTAAAAACGATTTTCGGAGCGATATACTGTCATTTATAGTCAAATGAAAGCCATTCCTAAGCAAAAAAAACGCATGTCTGCCTGCTTATGCGAAAGCTCCCCACTGTGTGGGTGTGGGTGTGTGGGATGTGCCTTCATTGCATCCACACCCACACCCTGTACATTATCTCCATTCACAGCAGTAAACCATGGTCGAGAAACAGATTGTAACCAATTGAGATCAGTTGAAGATGAAACTGTGATATAGTTAGTTCCATTGAGTTTTAGCAATTCATTAAAGAAAACATATTTTTGCATTCGATTATTTAAACATAATGAGGATGCCCGAAATACACGTGCTACTACTGGTTCATTAGACGTTGGAGAGAAAGGAGAAATAACTTTGTATCCAGCTATGAATGGTCCGTTTGATATGGCAATATTCATAAAATAACCAGCTGTTATACATTGTAAAAGGCGAGGAATGATATCATCGTTTAATTCTTCACTATCACAGAGTTCTATTTCATGGCCCATTTTTTTACCTTTTTCTTGGATAATATCTTGAGCCAATTGTAATGATTTCCCATTAATACAGTTATTTTTAAACGATGTATTGTGTTGGTTTTTATTTTTACTATTGACACAAAATGCACTCCAGTTTAAATATACATCGTCACAAGATAGCTCTTATCAATATATCAGTGAAGTGCGTGAGCAACAGAAAGAAAAAGATGAAAATTATTCTGCTTCATACACTGGCGTAAGAAAGATTTATATCTTCATTCATTTCAACTTAAAAATATTCAATATTTTATGGCCTCAAAATGGAATGGCATTTATATGATATTTGGATTTTCTTTAACGATCACAATTGGTGTACTGATCGGTTATTACTTAGCACAGACAACAGAAATAGATTCAATGTTTATCAAAAGTTTCGTTTTTGGAAATTCTCAAAAGAGATCCATTGCATTAGGATCTCATATCGCTATTATTAATCTCAATAATAGAAGTCTTACCAATTTCACTTGTATAAAGTCAAAAGTATTATTCAATATATTTCAAACAACAATTTGCCTACATGATATTACGAAAGATGTCTATGTTAGTGGGTCGATTGCTCGTGACAAAATATGGGAAGAAAATCTTGTTACAAAATTTTTAAAAATTTTGTTAAAAAATCCAGAATATGGTAAGAGTACCTCTTAATCATACGTCAGTAATAATAACAAACCGTAAGATAAATTGTGGACGTTTTAGAGAAGTTAAAGATGCTCTATAATGAAACATTTTAAAATGGTGTAAGGTGAAAGTGACGTTTCTGTGTCTTATTTTCATTGTCTATTTCAATGATAAGAATGTAGGGCTCTGTTTAAAAATAGAGAATGGCAAAATCTTATTGGCATCTTGATCTTGTGTTCATTCAGAACACAGTTGAGTCTGGCTGAAGGCATGATTAAAAAACTACACCTGTACACATGACTGACCTGTCCGAATATTATTTACAAAAAAACTACTTAGGGCAATCCAAAAGTAGCTGCAGTAGCACTTCAATTTCTTATAACAAGCTTCAAAAAATTTCTATCTACATAATCTGATAGAGAAAATAATGCTCTATTTTTCTATGCTATTTGATCATACTTCAACTAATATCATAATAATAAAATTTCGATAAGATCTATTTTGTTCGCGTGTGTCACGGTTACATGATTGCTAGTGAGTGTTTTTCGAACGACTTTTGATGGAAACATCATACAGAAGCGCAGTTTTTACCATTGCAAAGAGAAGATAAAGATGCATCGAATCGTATGTTACATGTTTTCCTAATATTGATTTCTGAAGTATTTTCATTCAATTTTCTAACTATCTCGAAAATCCTCTTTTTTTATAGGAAAAGGAAAAAGCAGAAAAAGTGAACTTTTTTTCACAGAATTTTCTAAAAAACAGTATCAGAGGCTCGACTACAATCCATACTATTCATCTCAATCTTCGGTACTTTGTAGACCTTCCATTAGTGGTTTGACTTTATACTTGATCATTGATAATTCACTGTAAATAACTCGCTAGACAGGTTTGTTCTTAAAAAGGTCGATTGAAAACCTTACAAAAAAAAAACAGATCAGGAAGCTCTGGAATATGCAATTCCACTCATCTTCATCTCCTCTTTCCAACGGTGAAAACCACAGTTCCCTATCTTGTTTTTATCAAAAGTTATTTGAAAAATATTCACTCGTACTTTTGAAAATGAGTATTGTTATAACCAGCACATAGGATAACGACACAGATCTTATCGAAATTTTATTATTATGATATTAGTTGAAGTATAATCAAATAGCATAGAAAAATACAGAATTATTTTCTCTATCAGACTATGTAGATGGAAAGTTTCTTGAAGCTTGTTATAAGAAATTGAAGTGCTACTGCCACTACTTTTGGATTGCCCTAAGTATTATTCGCGAGTCCAGATTCTATTTCTAAAAATTACTAAGTCATTATTTTTTTCCTATCATTCAGCTATGATAGATATTGGTGCTAATATCGGTACTTACACGATGTATTCAACAGCGATTCGTCGTACGACAATCTCAGTGGAGTGCTATCAACCAAACATAGAGAGAATTGTACGAGCAATTCAACTAGAGAATGTTTCAAAATATGTAACATTAATCGGAAACGCAATATATTCTGAATCAGGTATATATTTGAAATTATCAAAAGATACATCAAATGTTGGAGGACAAGGTTTACTTACAAACGCAACAACAAACCACACATCGTCGATTTCCGATCAATTCACAGGTATGAAAGTATGTCAGAAGACA